GCACAATCATTCCTTGATATCCATTCATAATACTCATGTAATGAATAAAAAGAGCCCACCTGCAAAAATTTTTTTAGGGAATATTTGAATTTCTTAATGTCCTCTGACAAGCTTTTAATTCTACATGGCAAGTTGTAAAATATCCTAATCCCACTATAAAACACTCCCTTTTGCACTTTAGTCAGTTTGCAGGTTGGATAATGCAAATCTAAACCCCGTCTAGTGTGCATGCCATGAATATCTGAATTTGTTACAAACTTGTCCATATTCTTAACCACAAAAACAGATATTGAGAAAATATATTGTGAATAGAATGGAAGAATATTTAACGCTTTGAAAATTGGTCGACAAGAGTCCCTGTTACCCGCTCTCATTATTATTCTAACTATTCTTTTTTGAATTATGAAAATTTGGTCACTATTAGTTGAATTACCCCAGAATATTATACCATATGACCATATATACCATATTATACCATAATAATAAAATGATAATTACCAATTTTTAGGGTATCAAAGCAGTTCATTGTTGATACTGTCTCTACCCTTCAGTCTTTTCATTTTATTGATTTGGGAAGTGTTTTCAGCATTTCAGAGGTATTTACTGGCCCCATCTTAGAGGCTAGAGTGAGGTTGGGAGTGAGTGTTCAAGCATATATAGATTTTGGTCTGAGAGACCTATTTGGGGAAAGGCAGGGGTTCGTGTCTGCTCCAGACCAATAGGGACAATGGACAGGGAAATAGTGCTCTGACTGTTTAAGTTAACAAAAAAATTAACTGACTGACTGATTAACTAACTAATGAACCAACCATCTAACTCCATAGAACAAAGTCCTTTATGGTTGCTCACCTGGTCAAGAAATTCCCGACATTTTATGTAACCTGATCATTCATTGCCGTGAACAGTGTACTTTGTGGGTTGTGGCAAAGGGGGAGCATCATAGCACATAAAAGCATCTATTTCATGCTCACTGCTGTAAGAACTTCAAGTCCAAAATTCATTACCACATTCATAAGAGCCAGCCTCAAGTCCCAATTCTGAGCCAGATGATTCCAGTCCATACCCTCCTATCCTTTGCCCTTTAAAGTCATTTTAGTATTATCTTCCTATCAATGAACAGGCACTGCAACAGACTTCTTTCTTTCAGTTTTGTCCCATGAATACATTGCATATTCAACTTCAAGTGTTCAAGCTAGCTGGTTACATTTTTAGTTATTTATATTCTTGGTTTATGGAACAATATTTTCAATAGCTCAAATAATATAATGTTCAGTGACGGGATGAACTGGAAAGGACATGAAAGGAAACAGATGTGACTTAGTATAATAGTATAAGAGGACATACATCAGCTTCATCTGGCTCAGGACAGGGTAATGAAAGGTAATGAAACTTCTGGTTCCAAAAATATATTGAAATCTCTCCACTAGGTGAGTTACTATTAGTTGAAGTGTATTTAAGCTGATATCGTGATTTCAAGAAATCTTGTTATTTAGTAACAAATTTTCTGGTCCTAACTGAAGCCCAATACAAACAGATGCAATCAGTAAATTACTATTTAGTAATCAGCCTATGTTTAACGCAAAAAATTTCTCATCTTTCATAACTTATACTTTGATTTCATGTGATTGTGGCTGAAACAACAATCAATATCCCACACAACCACTGTATTTATTTCATATATAACCAATTATTTTACATATAAATTTTATAATGATTATGTAATAGTATTACTTTGTGTAGAAACAGTTCCATTAACTACTTGTACTTATGTAAAGAAATTATTTTACCACAACTGTATACAAAACGGTAATGTTATCCCTGTAACAGACCATGGAGGCCGATAGGGTTGTGAGAGATTCACTAACTATGAATTTCACTGTCATTAGCCAGATATTGCAAGCGGTTTAATTCTATTTTAAATGTATGAGGTCTGCATTACAAAACCCAGTCCTGCAGATAATGATACCTTGGCATATGTGTCATTCCAGTAGAGTTCGTAGCTAACAATGTTCTCTCCTGCATGAGCAGGCCGACTCCACTGAAGTGTGACAGATGTCTCTCCCACTTCACTTGCTCGCAAATTACTTGGTTGTGTTGGCACTGTGAAGAAAATCAACCTTTTTAAAACCCTTTTACTGTTAGCAAACAAGCTCTGGATGGGCTCGGTGACTTCAAAGTAGGAGGGCAAATTATTCAAACTGTGAAATATGCAGATGACCTTGTGTTAATGGCTAAGGAAGAAACTGTGCTACAGGGCATGATTGATAGACTAATTGAAATTGGAAGGTGCTATGGCATGGAAATGAATGTGGAGAAAACAAAAGTAATGAAAATTTCGAGACAACCAACCCCAGTCACAATAAAGATAGACCAAAAACAAGTGGAGAATGTGAAATGTTTTAAATATTTGGGTAGCTTGTTAACAGATGATGGAAGGTGTACTTGTGAAATTAAATCCAGGATTGCCATGGCAAAAGCTGCATTTAGCAAGAAGAAGAATCTTTTTACCAGCAAATTGGACTTAAATTTGAGGAAGAAACTAGTGAAATGCTACATTTGGAGCATAGCTCTGTATGGGGCTGAAACATGGACACTTAGGGCAGTAGATCAGAAACATCTGGAAAGTTTCGAAATGTGGTGTTGGAGAAGAATGGAGAAGATCAGTTGGACCGATTATGTGAGAAATGAAGAAGTGTTAATTAGAGTCAGTGAGCAGAGGAATATCCTACATGAAATAAGAAAACGGAAGGCTAATTGGATTGGTCATGTTTTACGCAGAAACTGCCTTCTAAAAGAAGCTATCGAAGGAAAGATAGATGGGCGGATAGAAGTGACAAGAAGACGAGGAAGAAGACGTAAGAAGATGCTGGATGACCTTGGGGACAGAAGAGGATACTGTCATTTGAAGGAGAAAGCTCTAGATCGCATTAAGTGGAGGAATTCTTTTGAAAGAGACTGTGGACCTGTCGTCTTGACAGATTACTGATGATGATGTAAACAAACTTGGTTTCTATGTGTGCTCGTCCAGACTATAGAGTTTTGGTTCTTTAAGACTATACATTGAAAACAATAAAAATTTTTCTTTCTGAAAGTGCTATAAGCAAGTAGTTTCTTCTTTTGCCAGCAGTTGACACAGATATTTTGCGATATCTTGTGCTTAGGCAGTCAGTTTGCTATTCATTTCTTTACTGCGTTGCACTAAGTGGCTGGCGTCCTGATAAAAGTGATATGCTGGAAAGTAAGCCAGCTACAGAGGTTCTGAAACTGGAAGTGTCATTTAGAATTTAGACACCTAGAGAATTTGAAGAGTACTATCTTCCAGGCCATAATGCCATGTAATCCACTGAAAGTCAACTGAAGTTTCAGAGGAACATATTGCCTCTATCTTCAGGGTTGAATAAGCCAAGTGAGATACTAGTGTGAAAGCATGTGGCAAGCCAGCTTTGATTTTCACTGGCCTAGACAGAGTTACATCCGAGAAGAGAGTGCTCGTCATAGCCCCTGCTGTGGGAACCTCAAATCCCATATGTAGACACACACACACACACACACACACACACACCCTCTCTCTAACTCTCTTACTCTCTCCACAGTTAACACTGAATCTGAAGGAAGGAAATTACTTTATTTTCTTGGTGTTAAATTCCTAATAACTTGCAGTGCTCGTGTCTCACTTTTCATAGCACATTACCAGACACCGGAACTGCGAATGTAGACACACCAATCTATTTGTAATCAGTTCATCAATTAAGCAGACATACATTTTGGAAATGGGAAATGATAAAGACATGACAAATGTAGTTACTATAAGATTCTGACGATGGTGTATAACACACAGAGATATTGGGTTTTCGGACTTTATCCATCGTCCTGGTTTTTAAGATAACTAAGAAAAACACGACGTTTTGGAAACTGGATCTGTTTCCGTCCTCAGGTGAGGGAAAACACCTATTCTGTTGGGTCCCTTAGCTAGAGCTAGCCTCAATCATCCAGTGATTGAGGCCGGAAACAGATCCAGTTTCCAAAACGTCGTGTTTTTCTTAGTTATCTTAAAAACCAGGACGATGGATAAAGTCCGAAAACCCAATATCTCTGCAGGAAAAATGTGTTAATGTGAAAATTATTATAGGTCCAGATTAAGACATGGAGCAGAAACACGTATCATAGTCAAAGGGATACATCAGAAAAATTAAAGGCAACTGAGATGAGAATTTGAAGGAGGAGAACCATGAGGGAGTGAGGCAGAATAAGAAACAAAAAATGAGAGACAAATAAAATATAAATACAAAGGAAGAAACTTAATAAATAATGGAATAAGATGGTGTAGGAATGTTTAAATAATGGATTACGAGAGAATTCTACATGAGTTCTGAAGATGAAAATAATGGAAAAACAGTAAGGTCCGGAGGGTAGCAACAGGTTCAGAATGATATCACACAAGAAGAAGGAATAATAGGGAAGAAAACTGAGGAGAACCTCAGTGAAGGGCAGACAGATGGAGAAGCTCGACTGTTAACATCAACTGCAAAGAGTGGAAATGCCAATGGACAAAATCTTACCTCCCTGCTGGGTCTTTACAAGTACAGGCGCAGACAGAGGGCCTGGTCCAACACTCGTGAAGGCCTGAACTCTGACTGTATATATAGTATGAGGTATAAGTTCACTGACGGTTGTCAGCTGATTGTTGTCCACCATCTGTGACTCCCAGGAAGCCATTTGCAGGGTTGGATTCACAGTATAGTAGACTTTGTAACCCTGAACACATGAAGAAAAAACTTTGAAAACAAAAAGTAAAAGGAATATAACTGCAAGTGGTCATTGGCTAAAGGTGCCTGTGATGCTCAATGGTCAAGCTACATATCAGCGGTAGTGAGAAAGAGCTGAAAAGTTGGCAGTACCTGTAGCTCCAGTTCCAGACATTTCACCGAGTACGTCTGCGGTTACTTCTTTGAGGTGTAACGCTTAGGTATCAGGACATGAAAATTCTGTGTCTTTGCTGTGTTAACAATGGAACACTGCAAGAATGTGCCTATTAGCTTTGAGTTCCCTGTCTATCCACCTCTTTGCACTTAAAAATTTGTGAACTGCAGAACATGTTTTCATGAAATTTGATACTGAGGGGTTTCAATAAACTTTGTCCACATGCTCACCAGTTTCTATTAAGAACAGACAAAAATAATAACAGGCACTTTATATGAATGAGGAACATGGTAATGTACTTGGTTAAGGCACTATGCTACAAGCTGGAAGGTTGCAGGTTCAATTCCCAATGGGGTCACCGGATTTTTCAACTATGGCCCCAAGGTTGACTCATCCACTAACAGAAATGAGTACCATGAATCTTCCTGGGGGTAAAGGTGGCTTGGCTGCATATAATGCTGACAGTCTCACCGCCATCTGTGAGCTGAAGGTCTAGAAAATGTGAAAGCCTCGACGTCTCACAACCCTATGGGCTTTCACAGCATGTTACAGGGAGAGCTTTTTTTTTTTTACTTTACATGGATACCTACATATGTTTATCAATTTATCAAGTACAATTCAACTAAATATTTAATGAGATGATGAATGTTTCAAACAGATATTGGAAAGGAAAATGAAACACACATTTCACATGAAACATCCTTCTTCCAAGAAACTCATAAAATTAACTCCAGACTAAAATTATTTAATACATTCATTCACTTATTCAGTATTGAGGGGGTGGGTTACCCCATGCACTGCGACCAGTTTGATCTATTGTGTGTCCCTTTTAAATTTCTACTGCCTCCATACCCTACCGGTACTGGTGCTTGCTATTGTTCCCTTTCTGCCAGTGAGGTTTCGGCCTTCTACTGGCAGTGGCATCTGATAGTTAGTCCCTTTCTGTCAGTGAGGTCGTCCCTCCTCTGGCAGTGGTACCTAAGCTCCCCCATCTACTGGAGGCATTGGAAACTACTTGGGCGGGAAATTTGCCTAATTTAGCTCAGAGGTCTCCTAGAGACGTGAGGTTCTTTTATGTGTCGTAAATCTACGACACGGGACCCACAGCTTAAAGTCCCTCCCGGAGGACTTGTTCCCTGAATTTTTCCACCCTTAAAAATTCCACGACCTTGAGTACCTTGAGTCATGAGGTGGGAACGTTACCCCTAGACTACGGAGGCCGCTATTTAATACATTACTTCAGTCTCATAATTTTCATGAGAACTACAAAACTAACAACACTGAGGCGATATCTAGGAGAAAGAAGAGAAGGAAACAAAGAACATAAAAGGATAGAATGTAGGCAGACTGAGAGTCTGACGTACAACGCACCGTAACTTGTCCATTAGGTGTTTCTGGTTCATCCCACTGAATGACCATTGTACTAGAGCTGAGAGGCCGCACCTGGACATTCCTGGGGGCTGTGCCGGGTTCTGGAAGCAAATATACAGCAATAATTTCAAGCTGCAAGCAAATGGTAAACACTGCTACAGCTATATCCATCTCACAGATAATCCACCTTGTTTAAATTTCTTAAAATATAAACAGTTCTTATATCTTTTGATATTAAACACAAATATTGGTAAATAAATATCTGTGCTATAAGTTCTCCTGCACTGAAGGGTTAAATATGCAAGTGCAAAAAGAAAACATTGAATACTGAAATGATATCAGCAAAATTAGATCATAGATCTTCTTACATTAAAAGTCCAATTTCAAAATTCACAGATGCTTTATAGACATAAAACACAGAAAACTCATTCCACTCTCCTGGTGGGCAAAATTTATATTTTAACAAAGTTAGTAAGCAAAAGGAACAACAGAACACATTTCACATTCTTAGAAAATGAAACCCACAGTTTGATTATTGTTACATGGATACTCATGGGACAAGGGTACACATCTCAGCAGAGTTGTTAATAAAGCTCTCTGACCATTCACAAGTTACATAACTGACCAAACAATTAAACAAATTAATGAGTTGATATTACTCAATGAACACCCCTTAACTTTGTGTTCGCACTCCTTGCCGTCTTTGTGCAACCTCGTTGATATATTAATGTTCACACATCGTTTCTTTAGCATATAACACGTTTCAGCTAAACTGGCTGCTTATATTTAGTACAATAAATAAACCTGCTGCTCTGTTATGCTGTTCAGCAGGTTTCTGTACTGTACTAAATTTCAGCTGCCAGTTACGCTCAAACATATAGTGTTCTATAATATAGAAATAAAGATGTGCAAACATTAATATATCAATGAGGTTGCACAAAGACGGCAAAGAATGGGAACATAAAGTTAGACATGCAGTGCAACAGGATACTGCAGTATGACCACCCTTTAACCTGTCCCTGCTTTTATTCTTTGAACTGTTTAAACATAATGTATGTAAGTGTTACCACACATACAAACACACAGACACAAATGAATTTCAGAGGCACATTGCACCATAAAAACAGAAGAAAGCTCTGTAGAGTAAATTTTGTTACCATTATTTATATACGTAATACAATGTGTGATTCGTTATCACTGAATTGAGAGCAACATTTAGGCCTTTTGGGTCCTGCACAGTGTGCAGGCCAGGATACAGAAGTGAAGGAAGACAACGAAAGTGGGGACCAAGTAATATGAAGAGAAGTACGAAGGAGAGGAGAAGACATAAGAAAAAAGAATTAGAAAATGGCGATGGAAAACGAAGAGGACAGAAAGATTTTCATCCTAGTTCTTTGGGTCTGAGAGGAATAACATTAACATCCTACGTTTAACAAATAACAGAGAAATTTCAAAAAGCACAAATGAAACAAGACACAATATGCTACATGCAACTGTGACACTTACTTGCACCTCCAAGAGAAGAGTCAGCTAGAAAAACAGAATATGTATTACTACACAAACCACACTTTAAAACAGGGTTCTCCCATAAAAATATTGTCAGTTTAAAGGAACAATCCTTGGTATACAACAACAGGACACAGATATTAACTTTGAAAAGTAAAATGAAACTTGAAGTGTTTGAGCTGAGACTCAATTCCTGTTGAGTTTTATGAGTCATATTGGGCAGAACAGAGATGTTAACAGAAAGTATGTAATAAACTGGAGAAATGTATGGATGAAAACAGTCTGTAAAACATCCTTTATACAAAGTTTTCTCTAATTTATCTCCTAATTTTATGTCTGCAAGGTCAATAAACATAACTACAGCTAAGAGCGCATACATACAGCTAAATTCTGGCAGAACATTACCATTGGAGTCAACAAAACTGAACCAGATTAATGATAAATAAACTGATTAGTTGGAGCACAAAACATGTGGGAAGCAGTGAATATCAGTTTCAGACAAACATTTTTTGTGAACACTCCGAATTTTTCACTAAAAGGTTCATACAATGAAGGGACATTTTTCCATAGAGAAAAACACATACATTGCTTTACCATGGACAAATACATAACATGGAGAAAAGTACTGATTCATAAAAAGAGTAAAGCCCATTGTCCTGTTAGCAAGTTGCTACTTTGATGAGGCTTTGATGGTACACTTCTTAGAAGTCACTGCCTTTCTTTTTGATAGAGTCCTTCCCACCAAAGATACTAGAAAGTACTGAAGAAACTAATGGTTGCATCTTCTGAAATGCACTGCTGAAGTCTTAGCTTTCTGACAACAGACTTGTATTTAAAAACTTTTAACATTACAAATACCAAAATTTCATAAAAACTGGCATAAAACTTACATATCCATACATGAAAGAAATTCATATCTTAAAATGGTGCATTCAAAAGTTTTCAGCATTTCACAGTTTCTAATATATGTTAAGTGTTGCTACAGTTGAAAGTTTCCTATCAAGGCAATCATTAGTGAAACATGCTCATGTCCTTTTGTTTCTTTGGATTTATATGATATGACAATTTTCTGCACTTCCATACATGTTAAAATAATAATAAAAAAAACTTCTTTCATTTTGGAAGGTTGTTTTCATAAATGTGTAACTTTTAATTTGTGGAAGAAATATGAATCATTATATTTAATTTTGAGTTCAATGTGACTTAAATGGCAAATAATAGCAGAATTACAGTCTTTGTATATTTGCATCTGGATGTAAAACCAATGAACTGGTCAGCATGTATTCTCTTCTATCTTCTAGCACTGAATCCAATTTAAAAAGGTAAAGAGATCAAAAGCCCCAGTCTGAATTTGTACTCCAGTTTTAATGCAGATGACCTACCTTTGCATACCATGTTCTACTTCCTTAAGCATGGCATAAGGCAAATAGTTAATTAAATAAGATAATTTTCATTTAATATTGGGAGGCCTAAACACCTGACAACCACTGAAAATAGATACAAATCTATCTTCATTGTCACCTGAACCTATGCCTAAGCACCTTGCTGTGAACATACGAAGGGGGACCAAAAAATAACCGGAACCAACCTGTTGCGTGTGCATGCTTTGTAGTTACGAGTTGTTTTGCTAGGTGGTGTTAGCTGGGGGTTTCCCGTGACTGTTAGTGAGCTGGCGTCAGTCTGAGTTAATTGATTTGTCTGAGGTGCTCTGTTGTGTGCGTTCCTGTTTCAACCCTTTGGTGATTAGTGAGATGGCTTTCTTTGGTCGTGGTGAAGTTGGAGTTTTCCACTGGCTTGATGATTGCTGGATTGCTGGATGAAATCTGGATCGTTCTGCACTTCACTCTTCAAGTCGCGGCAAACATTCACGCGGTTTTCTCTTTGGTCATCTCCGAGCAAGCGAGGAACAAATTTTGCAGACACCCGTCTCATGTGCAAACCTTCGGTTAAAATTCGCTGGACCGTGCTTCCCAACAGTCTTGGCTGCAGTTTTCCCTAACAGAAAGCAAAATTTCACGCACACTCTTTGTTCCTTCTGGTCGGCCATCTCACTAATCACCAAACGGTTGAAACAGGAACGCACACAACAGAGCACCACAGACAAACCACTTAACTCAGACTGACGCCAGCAAACTAACAGTCGCGTGAGACCCCAGCTAACACCACCTAGCAGCACAACTCGTAACTACAAAGCATGCGTGCGCAACAGGTCGGTTCCGGTTATTTTTGGGTCCCCCCTTGTACATGAGCAGCTGAATGTTCATCTCTGCAGCAACCCTGTCAGGTTTGAAATTATCGTAATACGAACACACCTTCACTCCCAGCAACTCTGCTATTTGTTACCTTGCAGGCCAGACATTTTTAGTGGTGTACTAACTGCATACAGCATTTCACTGTAATAAGCATTTATCATTCCATACATGACTAAAATATAGCAGAAGGTAGCTACACGTGTCATACAGAAAAGAGAAGAAAGAACTACATGCTCAAAATATATTATGGAAGAGAAATATTTTATCTCCTCATAGCATGTATCTATCTGATCTGGTTCAGGTATGACAAACTGAAGGTACAGGAGTGACAATGTAGAAACAAATTCATTGCAAGTTTTCTGAATGGATTTGGTGGTACATCATCACAAGAAGTTCTGGCATTAGCTTTGGTTTTATCTTTTCAAAACAATGCCTACAAGATATGAAGAAAATTTTAAAACATCACACAACAGATAATTCCTCCATGACTTATTAGGAGCACGTACAGGAAATGAAAGCATTTGTGACATGAACCTGAAAGTGGTAACACTGGCACTGGACAGAAGTGAGTGATCAGTTTCACATTCAAGATGCTGGCTGAGGATTTCTGTAATTTTTCTCAGCTTCTCCACGCAGATGCAGAATAGTATTTCCTGGTATTTATTTCTTAACTCTTTACCACAACCACCTCTTTCCATCCACTGCTATTTAATGTTGTAACAACCAATGTAGGTGAAAAACCACAAGTCTGCCTCAGCCTACTGTGAAGGATGGTTTTAAATGCCTTAGAAATAACATCATTCTTTTTTAATCTTATAATGGCACGTATTCATTCTGTATAAATTCTCATTTCCTTGCAGCAAGAAGTCAACATTCATTCACTGAAGGGTACGTCATACAAAGTCTGTCACTGCTACAGTTAATTTTAGATGAAGACTTGTAGCTGAACTTATTCCTTGTAACTTCTGAAAATTTCACTATATGATACAACTGTCAAATGGGAGAAAACTACAAATTAAACGAAAAAAACATGCGAGTAAGAACACCGAGCAATGACTCTGAGGTAACGAGCATAAATATACATCATTATCAAGTTGGTGGCAAGGGTGTTGAGAACTGCGGGTTGTGAAGTGGTAACCTTGGGTGGTTTCTTGTATGAAACACACATTAAAGTCACAATTAGAATTTTGTAATTAAAAAATTATGCTTGGGAAACCCTGTTCCAGCAATTTCCAAATAAGAAATTACACTGTCGGTGCTAGTAAGTAATAAAGTGGATTAAGTGCATCTATCCTACACAAAGAACTTGAGAAATAAACCACTGAAGGTGTGAAAAAGGAATATATGGGGTAGCGGTGATGTCACTACATAAAAACAGTGCAAGAAGACATTTCAAGAATCTTTAGTGGTAAAAGTGATACAAAAAAGTAACGACAAAGATGCTATAAAAATGTTTCTTCTTGTCTAACACAAACTACACATGTAAAAAAGGGGTGACAAAAAACTTACATCAATTGATTAGTTCCAAGTTTTTGCATGAAAGTCAAAAAATTTCTCCTTTCAAAAACAATATTTCAAAAAACGAATTATTTTCATGAAAAAATATATTGTTCAAATTATTAAAGGCTTTAAAAACACTAATAATATGGGAAGACATCTTAGGAATATAATATTCACTGTAAGACCAGGAAATTAACAAATATATGTGTCTTTTTACATAAAATAATGATTGTGTCCCTAATACTCACCCAATAATCATCTATCATTAGCACAACTGCCTTGCATCTGAACAGAAAGAAAATAAAATAAAATAAAAAAAAGAAGCTTGAATAAAAATGTTAAGCCTTACTTCAAATTAGGAGAGTTAGAAATCTGCAGGAGAAAAGAAAACTCATATTGAAAATAACTGGTGCTTGTTTAGTCTAAATGCTTGTGACACAGGCCTGTTATTTCACTGACACATTTGCTGGACATTTTCCACTGCTGAATTTTGATCGTAGAAGCATACTTTTTCGAAATTTCTTCTGTTTCCATTATTAAATAGTTATACAGCAGCTCCATCTAACGGGTGAAGCTGGTTAGGCTTCTGCTTTCATCTCATGATGAAGACATATCCAGTTTCTGGAACACTAGTGTTTCTCTGACCCAGACAAGGCAGTGGACAGTGCCCCCAAATCAGTTTCATTAATCCTTTGATTCTTAGTCACTTCATATGTGTAAATTATAATGAAGCAAAAAGAAGAAAAAATAAATAAATAAAAATGAGAAGTAAAGTACAACAGAAACAAAAATAATTTGAAAACACAACAAAGAACTTTTTTTAAGAAGTCAGTTTCCTTCCAATTACTTCCTAATTCTCCATATTTACAATGCTGTATGTTTTCCAGTGTTAAAAATCTCAGTGCCTAACTGATCAGTTATTTAATCTCTTTTCATTTAAAATTATCCATAACATAACACAATGTAGACAGAACCAATCAAAACAGAGAATCATAACCCTATTTTCTAGGTTTTAAAAGACTAACAAGAATGAAATTCCCTTTTTTGCTTCAGTTACAGTGTAACCCCATTTAATATTCCTCACTATAAGGTTTTAAATAAACAGGTTGATCTAACTGTAAGGCCATAGGCAGTCCCTAGTTCAAGTCTTTGCTGGGACAAAAGATGCCATGAGTGAGGCCTTTTGTGCTTTTCCCTCAATTCCATCAGGCAAATAATAGGATAGTAATGGATTTTGGTAGTCACTACATCCATCCAAACCCTTTCCAATATCTTCCTTCATGTAACATTCAATCAGTAATCCCAATGTAGCAGTCCCAGTCTTAAATTAGCTGTAGTTAACATTTCCTTCAGAAAAGTGTTCAAATCTGCTAGTCCACAAAGAAATCTTAAATGGGAGTTTCACTGTATTTCTTTTATTCCTTCTTTTTGCTACCATTTAAACATGCAGTGGATTTATTTGCCATGTTCCTATTCTTTTATTTTTTTAAGTAAAACAATACTTATCTCTCCATTATAAATACAACAATAAATCAAAATTACACACAATACCATACAATAAAACAAATATAAGCTACTGTATATACATACATAATCCTACTTCCAAAAATTCAAGTATTGCAAAAGAACGATATAGACTCACCTGTCTCACCCGTGGTGACTATCGCAGGCGTGCTGGGAGGTCCTCTGCCAATGTTGTTTACAGCGATGACAAATAATTCGTACTCTGTGTAGGGACTTAGGTTACGAACTGTATAGTACATGGTGATGATTCCCGATATCTCACTATATGCCTGATTTGCATACTTTGGCTTGTACTGTATGACATAGTACTGCAATTCCTCCGCCCCTGTATATGACCAGGTTAGACGAACAGATGTTGCAGTGATCTCTGACACTCTCACATTCGTTGGAGGGCCAGGTAGTGCTGAGAATAAACAACATGAAAATAAATGAGTAAGACTTGACTCAGAAGTATAAAAATTACCCACAATGACCCCAAAATGGGACTTTACATGCTGAAGCAGCTATTTTCCCACAAAAAGTGGATGGTGAATGTATGATTGCAGAGACCTCTAGCAGACAAGAATGGGAACAACTTGAAATCACCCATGGTGGACAACTGGATAACATAACTTGCCCAAGGGGTTGGAAGCCGTTACCAGAAAACTGGTGAAGACACAGTAGGCTGAGAAGACTTAAGTGTGTGCTGTAGTGAATTTCAGACTGTGAATTAGCAATAGCACTACATTTATTTGCAGTTATGAATTAGGTGTATAAGTGTTCAATAAATCCAATAACCAATACAAACCCTGTCAATAGTCAGAATCGTGTGACAGTATGATACTCATTGGAAAATGCATTACTTACATTGCACTTTGACCTGAGTCATAGATTCGATGACTCCGAGGGCACTAGCTGCTACACAGGTGTAGTTGGCTGACTCCTGGATGTTGGTCAGTTCTAGCACATTTCGACCAATTGGAAGCTTGTCATCTGGTGTAATATCTGTAGCCAGTCCCTTCCGCCATTTCACATATGGCATTGGAGAACCAACGGCCACACACGTAAGATTAAGGCCAGCACCTAACATCACTTCATGGACTGGTGGTGGGGGAATGGAGAACTGAGGTGGTACACGGCGCACTGCAAAATAAATGTTCCGTAACATGTATTAAAAATAAAAGGAGACAATTTTAGGAGATGTATGCTTGTAGGTCGTTACCATTGTTTTGAAGGAACACACTATCTCTATCTTCAGGATAGAAGGTTGCAGATCTGGGATGTTGGGACAAGGGTAACAAGATGACTGACCAATCCAGAGCTAGGGAATGGGAAGGAGAAGATAGAGACTGCCTGGAACAAGGGGGAAAAAGAGCAAAACATCTGACACCATCCCTATCCAGCTGAATCCAGCCAACACCCCTTCCAATTTATTTAAGATCCACTTTAATACTATTCTCCCATCTATGACTGGGCATTCCAAGCAGTCTATTTCTTTCTGGTATTCCTAGCAAGATTTTGTATGCATTTCTCTTCTCTTTGTGTGCTACATGATTTGCCAATTTCAACCTCCTGATTTTATCATTCTAGTAATATTTGGTGAGCAGTACAAATTATGAAGCTGTTTTTCTCCAGTTGAATTTCTTCAGCTGCCTTTTACTTCCTTCCTCTTAGGTGCAAATATCCCCCTCAACACCCTCAGTACATGATTTTCACTTAATATGAGAAACCAAATTTTGAAACCATACAAAAAACATAAGGCAAAGCTGCAGTTGTGTAGTTATTTATATCTTATATTTTAGGACAGTAGATGTTAAGATAAAAAGATTCTGAACTGAACGGTAGCAAGCACACCCCACATTTAACCTGTTCTCAATTTCCTTGTTAACAAAACTTTTATCTTTAGTGTCACAACAAATATTTGCCACATATTCAAAAGATCTATTTAACTACCATTGTGGTCATGTCAAGGCTCAGGCAGTTAGTTGCCAGCTTCCCACCACAGCAGCCTGGGTTCAAGCCCAGGTCAGGTCATGTGGGATTTGTGGTCAACAAAGTGGCACTGGGGCAGGTTTTCTCCAAGTACATCGGTTCCTTGTGCCAATTCGAATTCCACCGACTGCTCCACATTCATCATCTATCATCTGGGGCTGGTATAATAGGCAAGTTATTGGCCAATGTACCAAGTGGACTCATTCTCACCCCTTCACAAGACACTAAAAAACTAAAACTACCTTTGTGTTGTGGAACATAAAGAATGCAAATAATAATTATGTTTATTGTGCAGTTTGCCTGCCCTGGCCTGTGGTTTACAGTTTGAAGAACAGAGCTTCAATCCCATTCACCTGTCTGCCGGGTTCCTGGTAGCTTCATTTCCATATGGCTGCCTGTGTGAGAAGGTTCTCGTTCCCCCACACTTGAGACACGGTACACATGCTCTTAATGAGATTAGTGATCCTCCCTCCCCCCACACACATTTTCTCATATCAAACTGAAAATTGTTCTACTGTGACCTCTTGACAGAAGAAAGGTCTCCAAAGCTGAGTGTCTGCATTCCATAATGTGAGAGCAAGAAGAGTTTAGGAATTGACATATATTGAGTTACTGAATTATGAAACCTTACAGGAAAAGTTTTCTTAGTGATTCATTAAAAACAATTACATGAAGAAGTGTGGTGGCGTGGAGGCATCATGGTTTGATTTCTAGGAGGAGCAAGAGATTTTCTCCTCTCTCCAGAGTCCAGCCTGGCTCTGGGACTCAGCCAACTACTAATTCAAAGGGTACCAGGTACTGGGACATGAGGCTGATCACTTATGAGTTCTGACAATAAACTTCGCGAACTGCCACCGTGAGCTTGATGTGGCAGCAGTGGGCAGAAACCTCAGTATGGTTTGATGATGTTGGCATATCAGCATTTCACAGCTGTGTTGTTGTTGATCTATGGCAGTCTCTTTCTGACTGGCATCTATTGTTGTCTGAGTGTGTTTTGGTGTGCCGTAGTGAGACTGTCGGAGCCAACATTAAATTTATTGTTAAACTTGTCAATAGTGGAAGAGAAATCAGAGAGATGTTAGTGCAAGTTATGGGTATAATGCTATGAAGAAAACAGCAGTTTACAAGTGGGTGACACATTCTTCTGAGGAAAGAGAAAGTGTCAGTGAAGAAGAGAAATCAGGAAGGGTCAGCAACGAGCAGAACTGAAGAAAACACTGCAAAACTTTGTCAAAGTGTGCATGAAAATTGTTGGCTGGCTGGCAGGAGCATAGCAGAGGAAACAAACACTGACAGAGAAACAGTTATGAAAATCTTAACTGAAGATCTTGAACATGAGGATGGTGTGTGCAAAAATGGTCCCAAAGGAGCTACCCAAAGAACACTGATATGTTGGGATTTTTGACTTTATCCATCGTCCTGGTTTTTAAGATAACAAATAAAAACACGACGTTTCGGAAACTGGATCTGTTTCCGTCCTCAGGTGAAGGAAAACACCTATTCAGTTGGGTCCCTTAGAAAGAGCTAGCCTCAATCACTGGTCCAGTGATTGAGCCTATCTCTTTGTTTGTTTATTTGTTATCTTAAAAACCAGGATGATGGATAAAGTCCAAAANTCGGCTGGCTGGCAGGAGCATAGCAGAGGAAACAGTTATGAAAATCTTAACTGAAGATCTTGAACATGAGGAAGGTGTGTGCACAAATGGTCCCAAAGGAGCTACCCAAAGAACACTGTCTGTAAGGGAGTTCTTAGCTAGTAAACAAATAACAGTGCTGGAACACCCTCCCTATTTGCCGGATCTAGCCCCCAATGATTTTGTTCTGTTCCCAAAGATAATGGATGTATTGAAAGGAAGGCATTTTGATGACACTGATGACATCAGGAGAAATACGACGGCAGCTCTGAAGGCCATTCCACAAAACCAGTTCCCAAATTGTTTAAGGGTGGACTAAGAGCTGGCATTGGTGCATAGCTTCCCAAGGGGAGTACTTTGAAGGCAAAGACAGTGATATTCAGCAGTGAGGTATGTGGGACTTCCACCGTGATGAGTTTGCGAACTTGACTGTCAGACCACGTACTTCCATCTGATGTTAAGTTAAGAATGTGTGGAGCTATGCCTTCACTCCTCCATATGCCTTCATTATGTGCTGCACAGGGACAATTTCAACTTCACCTTATCACGAGATCATGAAGCAAAAGAAAAATTTCTGTGAAAAAATATCAGCATGAAAACGGCTACACATGAACAAACTTGTTTAAAAATGGCGGTCCAGACAACAAGCAAGAAGTGACATTAGGAAGAAGAGTTGTCATTTTGCTTAATTAAGCACCACATCATGAAGACACATGGGGGAGTGGAGGTATAGTTCCATGCATACTTAGCCTTGGCACCAGACAGAGGCAAGTGGCGGCTTCTTATACTGGTGACACCAGTCTTGGGTAATTTCCACGAGTACTGTTGCATAGGAACCTGGCTGGCCCCACAGCTGGTATGGATGCTTTGGAGAAGAGAAAAATCTCCTGCTTCTACCAGAGATTGAACCCTGATTTATGACTGCACACATGGCTACCTCCCTGCCATCTGTTAATGACATGTCAAAATAAAATACCAGGGACAAGTCAAAAGCATTATGGGCAGTATATGTTATAATCAAGTTTGGACTGACTGACTGACTGACTAAACAGAAATGAGTCCATCTGAAGCTGACAGTTGCTCAGGTCTCAAGATATTCTCAACATTTCATGGAACCCGAAGGTCCATCACCATGTTCGCAACAGCCTGATACTGGTCCCTATCCTAACCCAGATGATTTCAGTCCATACCACCCCATCCTATTTCTCTAAAGTCCATTTTAATATTATCCTCCCACCTATTTTTTTTATTGCTAGTGGGGTGGGACTAAGTCCCTTATACTGCGGCCACTTCTGGCCTATTGTACCAGCCCCAGATGAGAGGTAAGGGTGATTGTGGAGCAATCGGTGGAATGAAGATTGGCAGGGGAAACTGAAGTACTCGGAGAAAACCTGCCCCAGCGCCACTTTGTCCACCACAAATCGCACTTGACCAGACCCGGGTTCGTACCTGGGCCGCTGAGGTGGGAAGCCAGCGACTAACTGCTTGAGCTATGGTGCAGCCTCTCATCCCTCCTATGTAGCAAAGTATGGAAAGCTATTGTCTATAATGCAGTTCCTGTAAATTACTTCTGACAGCCCCTTATACTGCAGGGTTCACAACTGTCTGTCATATTACTGCGTGCCTAAACATCTCTAAGGGTGTGCAACCATCACATAATGACACAGACAGCCATACCATCATTAGAAAGTCACTATATTCCATTTTCAACATACTGTAAGTATCAAAATCACCACACTGAGATCTCACTGAAAAAATCTTCTGTAAAGTTGCTGACTCAAAGTATGATGTGCCCTCAGAGATATTTCTGACAGACTTCAGTAATCTTCACTTTCAACAAGAGGTTATCCCAGCCCTAGTGCTACAGCAAACAAACACTGCACTTCAAGCGTGGTGATTCAGGAAACAGTAGGTTCAACACAAGAGCTCCTCTTTACTCCTGGGGAACCAGAGCTGAGGAATTTCATTACTAACTCATACCAACTGCCACACTGACTGACTCAGGGGCTTTAGAACTTTAGTCCAAACTACATCATGTGCAAATCTTATGATGGAGTGTCAGATGTCTTCGTACTTGTCTGTCATATCTGGAGGAGTAGGCAAGTTTCGAAGATGTGTGGCTAACAAGAACACGTTCAAGTTACAGGGTGAACCAGCATCTTTTTCGAGGAATATTATCACATAAATTATGAAATCTCATATCATATTACAAACATTACGCCAGGAGATTTTTGTGTCAAAGGTGTTTATATAGTATGCAGTCTTCAGCTGTGAGCGCACAAGTGCCATGGGATACATTCAGGCTGTTGCATGGAAGTTAAGTCTGTGAAGACGACTGTTATCAAGTAAGTTGGCTCGGGTAGTAAAGCTCCTAAATTATATTCAGAGGGGCTTGGTTAGGTCAATGATATTCCTGTTTGGGACATGAATAATCCCAGCTGAGTTTCTTGTGTTTTCCCTCAGTATCTCCAGGAAAATTCCATGACAATACTTTAAATTACACTGTGACCACTTCCTTCCACATTCTTTGCAATTCATTATTCGCTGTCATCCAGTCATCCAACAATATACGTATATTAGTCCAAGTTAAATAAATTACAAATAAACACGAGATTCCTGTCTTCTGGGATGTCAAACAGCAGTACATTCCAGTAACATTCATAGACATGGCAATGGAAACCTAAAAACTAGCAAAATTGGTCTCTTTCCTTGTGCTGTCTTGTTTATTTATTTATTCATTTATTTATTGCACTTTAGTTAATGATGTCAATAGCTCAGGCGATATAACATAAACTGAAAGGAATTATAGAAACTAACAAATTGTAAATTTTGTGGGGAAAAAAAGTTATGGTAAAGCTATCCCTGTAAAAAGCCATGGAGGCACATAGGGTTGTGAGACATTGAGGCTCCCAACATTGTTCTAGATAATCGGTTCACAGATGGCGGTGACGTCAGCCTCACACGCTGGCCGCTCTTTACCCCCAGAAAGATTCCTGGTACTCATTTCTGTTAGAGGCTGAGTTGACCCCAGGGCCATAGTGCAGACTGGAAGGATTAGGTCAACTAAAAAATCTAGTGATGGGCTAATTTTTAGTGTTGTTCTGGTATTTCACTTCAGGGACCGAAAAAAACCATAAAAAGCCCCAGTCAGAATAGTTAGTCACCTGGATGAGATTCAAAATCAGGACCCCCTGAATATGTAGCATGCATGATACCTTATCTGGGGTGTCCTCTTGTTATAAGAGAGGCTTTGCATGAGGCTACTGCACCATTTGAAAGGTCCAAGTGTATGTAAAATACTGATTCACATCTCTTGAATTAATTCTAAGGTGGAACAGGTCAAGATCAGATGGGTGGTACATATATGTACCATACATGCACACATGGGAGGGATGAGAACTGTATACACAGTTCAAGTGCAAGAACCTGATGGAAAGGGACCACTCGGTAGATCTAAGTATAGACAGATGAAAAATATTAAAGTAGAGCTTCAGTAAATAGTGTGTGATAGTGTGGAACAGATTCATCTAGCTTGTAATAGGGGCCAGTGAAGGGCTGTTGTGAACATGGTAATGAGTTTTTGGTTTCAGTATGATGCAAGGAATTTGTTCAATAGCTGAACAACTATCACCTTCTAAAGGAGGCCTGTTCTGACTCACCTTTGACGTAAAGCATTGTGGATTGTGAGTACTCTGTTCCGACAACGTTCTCAGCAACGCATTCGTATTTACCTTGGTCCTCTTCTTCACTGCTCGATATCTGCAGGGCTCCTACGAACACAGGACAACATCCTAAGTAACAACGCTAACAAGACACGCAAGGATGCCCAAAGGAATCTTACAAATCTATGTTATATATAAGTTAATTCCTTCAGTGTCATGCCATTTTATGTTGGACTCTGAAGTTTTCAGTCACGTAAAACATTATTTACAAAAATGAAAATAAATGTGTACATATTCACCAATCACCATTGTAAAACAACAACAGCAATACATTTTGCTTACCTAATCATGAATATATATATTTATATTCCATCTAACCCTTCCATACTGCATGGATCTTAAAAAAATATGAAGGTGCAGAATGATTCATCTGGTTCAATATGGGCGCCAGTGACAGGCTCTTGTGAACAAACGAATGGACCTTCATGTACCAAATAATGCCTGACTAGCTGAGCAACCATTAGCTTCTAAGGAATACTCTGTTCTGTGAAGTTAAAAAGATGGAATGAATGGCTGTGGGCCACTTTGGGTTACTGTCCTGTCATTTTCATGGAGGGACTAAGGAAAATCATCGAAACCTCAGTCTGCATACCGAGGCTTGAACCATGGATCTCCTAGATATGACGGAGCATTACCCGCTTTATTTCATCGCTGTCTAAGTGGATTAACACAAACACATGAACTTGAAAAACAAAATCTTAGACCCAGAATTACAAAATTCGGCAGAAAAATCAAGCCAACTGACAGATGAGATATACTTAAATACAAAATGAATAGCTCAACATTTTTGGAAAAAGAGAGGCTGACATGAAGACAGTGTGGTATGTGTTCTTCCCCTTGTTTACATTTTTCACTGTAGAATTCACCAGATGATGGGACTCCCCCATAACCTCTCAGCAGCAGAATGGGAAAAAAGATAATGGTCCCATGAGAAGTGTCCGCAGAATGGAACCCAGAAGAGAACCTCTCTCAGAGAAAAACAGGGAATGCTGTAATGTATGGTTCGGTAAACTGATGTGTACGGTGAAGCATACATAAAGGAAATGGTGATGCACACATGAGCTCTGGTAGAAGCAGAGAAAGCCTGGCATCTAACCCCCCACCCCAGGGATTTTTGAAAATGAGAAAAGATGGAAATACACTAAGACATTAATAACAACAATTAAAAGAGTTTCTTTCAATTATTCTTCTCTGCTGAAAACTCTAGAGCAATCAGTACAGCTTAAACATAAGTCTGTAATCAAATTCTATGGCTGTCATCCTGGTAACACCCAAAAATGCACATGTGACGTTCCAGTCTTAGTCAAGTAGCAGAGTGAAGGTTTGGGACATATGTGCGTTATTAAAACCACTGCTTCAGTACTCGACCAAAGTCGAACAAGCATCCATTACCATATAATGCAATATTCAACTTCAGTGTACATCAAGATATAATAATTTCCTTCACTACGTCATTTGATTTTAATCTGCAGGAAATAAAAATGCAGTTTATTGTGTTTCTTCTTGCACTTTCACCTTAAAATTGCATTAATTTAGGAAAACGTGTAGAAAATAATATGCAGAGAAAGGGTCAAAGAAACACATATTTTTAGACATTTTCTTTTGAGTAAAGAAACCCACTGTGTAGGATTTGAGATTCTCACAGTGGTGGTTATGAAGAATTTTATCTTCTCGGATATAATGTCATGCTTTTTGTGAAAGTCAACCAACGTTTTGGCGCAATAAGTTACCTCCATCTTCAGGGATGTAGAGTAAGTAGAGTTAGAAACCAATATGAAGCTGGAGGCAAGCCTAGCAATCACTACTGTTCTTCCAAAATGCCAGCTGACTTTCACTGGACTACATGGTATTATATGCTAGCTATTCTGACAGCTGGCATCCCTCCATTTTCATGCATCAGTTTGGCACCTACTACAAGTATACTGTACAAACTAGATGCAACTAAATTCTATATTTAGTCTGAAGAAAACAAAAGCAATGGATCACATGTATACAAAGAAACAAATACACATCCATGGGGAAAAGAACTGTGATAATGCAGCTGGAGCAGTGAAATCCTGTTCTAATTGTGTGTGTGGAACATCATACTGTAACAAACTGATGTATTAAAAATAAGTCTATTACCTTCACCATTAAAAATATAGCTAACACTAGAGTCTGTGCACTGCATACACAGTGAGGGCACCCTGTAGCCCTTTTAAGGGAAGGAAACTATGTGATGAATCCAAAAATTATCATGAATAATTCCAATAACGAAGCTTCTGATAAGAACACACAAGCATTCACAATAACTGTACATATTTAGTTAAGGAATTCATGACTGTGTTTGTAAGGAAGCAAAAGCATACAAGTCCATTTACAATCAGCATGAAGCAAGTAATACCTAATTGGTTTGTAATGGTGCAACAGATGTATGATTTAATAAAGCAGAGTGGATCATTAAGGTGAAGTGCATGTAGCTGTAGCATGAAACCACCAGCACAAGACAACCAAATATGCACATAGCAGTGATTCAAAGACTCTGAGAGGTCAGTGCAAGATCATTACAAGACTATGGTCATGTTCAATACTGAAGATTTAGAGTGTGGTCATCTGCAGCATGGAAATGTATAGTTGTGATGTTACTGATGTTCATGAGCAACGTGCTGCCGCAATCTTTAGGGCAGAGACCTTGAAGACGGAAGCAACATGTTCCTCTGAAACGTTGGTAAGCACCTATAAGGTTACAGGGGGTCATGAGTCAGACCATAATGTAATCCTTCAGTGCCACAAAAGCCTCAAATCTTATATGACTGAAGATGGCATATTGAAAACTGTGATCTCATAGATCATAAATTAGTTTTGCTGGTGGGAAAATTAGACTGAATCGTAAGATTGGTCAACCTGATTATGACTGTCCCCTTTCAGTTACCAACATTTGCAAGAAAGTCTCCATTTTCTGGACAGACAATCAAGATGTTCAGTAGAATATGTATTAGATTATTTCACGTTACTCCAGCATTTGAATTCCCTTTTGTCTCTTTGTGGGACCCAGGTTGGTGCAGTCAGTATAACAACTGGCTATGGGTTGGACGGCTGAGGGGACAGAGTTCGAGTCCCGGTAATGGCGAATTTTTTTGTCTTCTTCATGTTGTCCACACTGATTCTGGGGCCCATCCAGCCTCCTACCCAATGGGTACCGGGGGTAAAGTGGCAACAGTGTGAAGCTGACCACCCACCTCCAACTAGGGCCAAGGTCTACTCTGCATGGATATATACCTCCTTCATGGTGTAGTGCTTAATTAGTTATGTACAGGAACAACTTTACCTTTACGTTTTTGTATCCTTGTGAAGATTTCTTGTGCAACTTATAGTCACCCGTGAATGAACAGCTACTATCCTGTCACGTAACTTTTGTACAAAATTAAATCACCTAATGCTTTACATGACCATAATCTAAAGATCTTGAGAAAGTAAGCCTGCAACCATAGATGCTGTTTATATATATATATTACATTCTTAGAATTATTGTAAGTATCACATTTCCATCCATCTCTTTCATTACCTGGACCTTATGAACTGTCATCATAAAGACTTAATTTTAAGACACAACTGAAACAACAAGAAGGTAAAAGCTATCCCTGTAATAGCCACAAAGGCCCATATGTTTGTGAGACATTGAGGCTCCCATATTTTCTAGACAATCAGCTCACAGATGGCGGTAAGGTTGTCATCCTTACGCACCGGCCGCACTTTAACCCCAGGAAGATTACTGGTAGTCTTTTCTGTTAGAGGCTGAGTCGACCCCAGGGCCATAGTGCAGCTGGAAGGATTAGGTCATTTGAGGAATTCAATGGCCTCATTGGGGATTGAACTTGCGACCTTTCAGCTTGTAGCATAGTGCTTCCACCAACTACGCTACCGCATGCCATTGAATTGACACAGTGCAAGTTAATAAATAAAAATTTAAGACTTGTTTAAGTTCTTGCCAACTTCTTAACCTATGTTTGTAACACAGTATTGCCAACGACAGTCCACAACAAGCTGCATGTGTAGTTTGGATGGGGAAATAAATTCCCACAACATTTTGCCACAGCACTGACATGAGTGTATAATAATCAATGTATTTCAATAAAAGAAACAGCAAAAATGCTGTCACCTTCAGCCTGCATATTGGGGCCGCACAACCACAAGAAACGTTCATAACACCTGGTTGCAGGCTTGGTGTTAGTTGCAAACAGCCATTACAAGTAACGTACCTGGCATGCCGGTACCTGTGTCTAGTATACTGTATCGTGAATTTTTGCTGGGGTCCACTGGCAGCATGTCTCGAACCCATGAGATGCGAGGTGGAGGGGTACCCACAGCGGAGCAGAGCAAAACTGCATTGTGGCCGATCTCTACTACCTTGGTACTCGGTGCTTGCGTGATCTGCGGGAACCCGGCAGGTAGTTTGTCAGCTGAAACACACAGAGATACACAATCATGAAATCAGTAACCTCATACAAACAGGCTTACAGGGTACTTCTTCAGGACTTGATAGTTCATGTTGATTCTGTTCATTAGGTACCTGCACTCTGTGACAGTGGCTAATGTTGCCACAAGGTCAAAAGGTCAAAATGCTTGTGTAAGTTTTGGTCTACAGAACTTCCCTCAATGAGTCTGCCGGATAAAGAACCTATGTAAACATGAACATTCACCCACCCAACAAACTTCACAACTCTGAGAATGAAGGCAGCATATACATCTGAAATGTTGGCAACACTGTCCACTTTGATACTGTGTAAAGACCTGACTAAATAAAATATATTTTTGCAGGGAATGAAGGATCATTAAAAATCAATGTGCAATATTATTAATAGCAAAATGGTAAATGTACTATTATAAATATTATAGAAAGCGAAGTTTTTCATGCACTTAATTACACAGGGTGTCCCAGGAGGAAAGGTCGATATTCTGGTAGAGCATAGTATCTATCATTCTAAGCAAAAAAAAAAAAAAGTATATGTACACTTCCAATGTTGTTGATAAGTAAGATATATTGCGTACTGTTTCTAATACCGGTATTTATTGTTCAAGTGACAAAGTTGGTACAGATTACCTACTACAATACATTTAAAAAATTCCATTGTCAACATCAATGCACTTTGAAACTTGTGTGAGGGCATGGCGTGTTGCTCGTCTGTACAGTGAAATACCTCTCTCTAGATAGGACACACGTATATACACAATTTTTTGCTTAGAATGACCGATACTATGACCTCTCAGAATATTGACCTTTCCTCCTGGGGCACCCTGCATAACAAGCAATACGCCGGGAAGGCATATTGGGGAGGGGGTGGAGGTATACATCCACATTGGCAACAGATGGTGAGTGGTCATCTTAACGGCCCCAGTACCCAGGGATAGAAGGCTGGTTACGTGACAAAGCTGGTTTGGATGCTAGAGAGAAGTTAAATATCGCTTGCTGCTGCCAGGAATTGAATCCTGGTGGCTCAGTCCATAGCCCAGTCACTATACTGACTGAGATACTCTGACTCAGAATGCATTATACCTCTTCTTAAATTGTGAAGAAATTAAACTAAGATTATTCTTTTACAACGCAGCTGTAATTTAAGAAAAGTAAAGTCAGATTTAAGTAAAAATCTATCAAAATGACAGATTAATAAATCTGTACAGAATTGTTTCGGCTAAGAGATATGCAATGGCCCCGAGACTGGTACCTACAAATCCAAATGTTGGTAGTTTCAACTATAAAATTTAATTCTGTGATAGCACTACTGTAATGGAATTAACGCACACACAGCTCTCGACATATCGTCTGTACTCTAACTTCTGTATGGAGTGAACTCTTGACACCTCGCTCTCAAAACATCCAAGGGCACGTGACATTTTTTTTATTCTTCTTATTTGCTGAGAACTTTCATTAGTCTGAAAGGCTTCTTCAATTATTATATTTGTGCTTGATATCATAACCGTTTCCTACAACTGAAAAATTTCCCAGATTACATTGTGCTCTTAAAGTTATTGTGTAGTTCCCCTGCAAATGTTTCTGTGATAAAATGGTTCCCTTGTTCAGATATAAAATGGCTACACTAAATCTAACAGCCTTTTTTTTTATACCACGGCAAAAGTGGAAACTCTGACATCTCTGGAGGACCCTAAGTGTCATACCTGCCTGCTTGTGTGCCTCCCTCACACTTCTGAAGTTAAAACCAGTTACCAAGTTCCCATGGTCTGCCTTTTCCTTAGTACAGAAAATTCCCAGTTATGCGGCACATATGGGGGCTGTGCCAGTGAGAATACCGTGCAGACTCGTATACAAGCCTACACAGGCATTGATAATGATGAATATCGAGCACTGATAGGTGAATATTTCGTATATATTGTAATTAGACCAAAAACATGACTAATCTCTACTGCGATGGCAAATACGTGAGGGAGCATGACGTGTAGCGCTACTAGTGGACGGTAAGGAGAACTACCGCGTGGTGTGCAAACATACGCTCATCCCAACTTTTATACCGTTTCTTTCCAAAAATGGTATATTGTTTTTGAAATTTTTGTCAGTTACGTGCAAATTCTTGATGCCTGGATATAGGGTAACGGGAAGTTTACTCAGGATTACTGAGTTTTTGGACTTTGCCCATTGTCTAATATTCCATTGTACATGTTGAAAATTGTCGGGTGTTAACTTCCCCATCAGAATGTTTTTTTTTTTTTGGTTGGAGCAGAGATTCGTTTGGTGATTTCAAGATGTAGCATGGAGTATTTTCTTGAAATCTTTCATCTTTTATGACGAAAACTGCTAAATGAAGTTTTGTTTCCTGCATATATGTAATTTTAGGGAGTTAGGAAAGGGATACACCTATAAGGCGAAGTGGAGGGAAGTGAACTGTGGTGAGGATGTGTAGGGTACGTAAGTGTAGCGAGGTGGAATGAAGGGAAGTTCCTGATGAAATGTGAGTGCATCAGTTCATGGCATTACGTATTTCATTAGTGCTAGTATTTAGTGTACAGCATTCTTATTTTAATTAATATTAATTTATATATTTGTAGTTGTAATTAAATTTGCAGTGTGTCCATTATGTGTAGTTTGTCCTTTATTGTTTGTGCAGTTCTGTGTGCTGTGTTTTGTTTGATGTGTGTCTTACTGTAGTACCACCGGTACAGGATAAACCCCATTTGCAGTTAGAATAATAATAATTCAATTCAATTCAATTCATGTTTATTTACGTGCAATAACTTAACAGCCCAGTGGCCAATTACAAAGTTAGCACGAATATATAAGGTACAGAAAATAATTAAAACAAAATACAAATATGACAAATAAATCTGTGAACATAAATCTAAAGAAGACTGAACTATATACATACATATAATACATATACATATATAATATACATACATAATAATAATAATAATAATAATAAAAGAAACAGGCACTGCAAAACGGATAACATATTTTAACTTATTTAAACAACTATAGAACACCGTTAAAGAATGCAAAATGAAGTTCTCATCATGACAATGTTCCTTAGTTCTGTGACACTACTAGTACGTCATTAGTAGTAGGGGTTCCTGGCCCGAGATGTTGAGACACACTTATCGGCTTGAATCACTGTTTTGCATTGTTTCTGGAATATACGTGGAGGTTACAGTGCTGCCTCCTACTGGTAGAAGGTAATATTATTACAGTCTGCCAACTCCCGCGGGTAATTTATTCCAGCCCTGCTTTTCATGGCGAAGCTACCTACTGGGCGCGAGCAGTGAGAAGAGAGGGAGGCTGGGACGCTAAAACAAAGTAATTATGTTACCAATCTATATTCAGCATATAGCACGACCAACCTATCAAGATTCCATTATCGACTGAACCCGTAAGTTTTATGATGTGCATTTTGCGTTAATTCTTGGACAACAAATTTGCAACAGTAATTATAATGGGTACCCGGTCACAGAGACAGTCTGGTCAAACAAGTTACGTACGGTCTCTCGAACACAGAGATAATGAGTTCGAAGTCCGTGTGACACATAGGCATACATTCAATTTTCTGGTCCGCGAGATACAGTAATGCATACCCGCAGAGAATTCTGCAGGAAGTTTTATCTTTACGTTATATAAACGCCCGTACTATTAATGTCAACTGATTTCCAGTCTTATATGCTATCGAATGATAAGTTGAGGACAACGTTTAACGCCATCTCCCACGAACAAAACACAAAAACAGTCGATCTGAAACCATCCCCTTTATATACACTTGGTCGTCGACTTACGACCGGCCGCACTTACGACCAAAAAAAAAATGATTAAAATGTAAAAGTTTTAAAAAATAAATTATAAAGATGATAAAAAGACTAGAAAGGTTAAAAAATACTGTTAATAAATATATGGCCGACATACAACCAGATCGACTTACGACCTGTCAGTCAGAATGGAAGTCGGTCGTAAGTCGACGACCAAGTGTAGTATAATACATTTTAGATATTAACGTCAAAATATTACCAGTACTCACAGAATAGACACAATACACCAAAGCAAATACTGTTTGCTTGTTCATGACCTATTACGTACCTTCCGTTCATGTAACGTGACAACTCTCGACAAATAGTTGCTATGGTAACTCGAAATTGTGTACTGTACGGATTTCACTTAAATGTTACATTACTCTTTTATATAATTCTTCGTTCATACACTCCACACCTTCTTCGTAATAATGCCTAATTCGAGTTGCCATGGCCTTCTCTAACTGCACAGAGAAACGTTAAGGAAATCGCTCAGAGATCGCACGATATCGAACAATACAAAAAGAGGAACGAGATTAATCGATTCTGGTTTAAATGATACATAAATTGATGATAAAAATTGAATTCTAGTTCGTACTTACAATGTGAAATAATACCTGATTAAATTCAACAGATTTCTAGACTATCTTCAAGCCCCAAATCGAAACTCCTGAGGGCATATTAGAAGCGTTCAACAGGAGATTCCCAAAGGCTCTCTTAGCTGAAGTACCATCACATGAAGGCGTATGGAGGATGAAACAAAACAACGCATATAGAATTAATCAAGAATCTGAAATACATACCGAACTGTAATTGAAACTGCTACATAAGAAAGGGACATAATAAATGTTTTACCTATCGTCATGCTGGTAATTTAAGATCACGGTCTTATGACCATGCGTAGTTTTGTAGACAGTAAATACCCGCGCACCAAAATATACATCACAAGAAAGTGAATGTGTCATTCTATAATCTCTGAAAGATTACGTACTTTTGAAATTTTATGCACAACCAGAGGTAACCAAGTTTTATGAATGTCCGTCAGTACTACGCTGTATACCTAATTCTCCGTATTAAAACAAATTATTCAAGAGATCTACAAATTTGAGAACTGTAAGAAGAGGTACGCATGGGGCCACGCTGTTGTGACGCTAGTCCGAGAAAAAGAATCGCAACA